CAAAAAGGATACAAAGTCAACACTATGCTTCCCCTTGTCAGAAAAACCTCTAGGATTCCCATATTGGGAATTATGTATCGCCATATCTTCAATAAACTGACCTGCATCATCAACATTAAGATACATAAATCTCCCACTAGCTGCAGAATCTAAAATTATTCTAGAAGAATTTCCAATGCCATTGTAAAAGGCTTGGATTAACTGCCATTGTGCTAAATTATGGTGAGGGAATTCTCTTTGTAGATCCTTGAACCTCTCCCAAGCCTCATATAAAGATTCATCGGCTTCTTGGGCAAAGTTCTGAATCGCACTCCATAGTACGGTTGTCCTCTCTACAGGATAATATTTGTTATAAAAACTCAAAACCAGAGTTTCCCAGTCAGTTATACCAAGTGCAGTTCTATTTAAGCCATTAAACTACAATTTAGCTTTTCCAGTTAAAGAAAAGGGAAAAAGAATCTCCTTGATTTGGTCTTGAGTGACCCCAGCTTTCCTGATGGTATTGCAATATTGACAATAGTCGACAATGTGAAGATTTGGGTCTTCACCCTTGGCTCCACTAAATTGCTTCCTCTCTATCATCATTATAAATTGAGGTTTAATTTCAAATTGAACCCCATCAAGAGCCGGAGTAGGAGTGAGATGTGGAAAATCTGTGAGCTTTGGTTTTGAGTAATCACTAAGCTTCCTTGGAGCCGTCATCTCTGATTCTGGATCTGATGATACCTCTGAATCGCTAGAACCAGTTGGAGGGTCTCGGTAATTATTATTATCACCAGAATCCGCTAGGATTTGCTTATAGAGATTTTTCTGTCTATGAAAAGATCGTTTGATCTCAAGATCGAATGGGATGTACCCTGATCTGGAACACCTGGGCATAAACAAAAAAAAATAGAAGAAAATATGAGATTTTCCTCAAAGAACTTACGTTCTCTGAGACAAAAAAAGAAAATAACCTAGACTACAAAAATAATCAGAAATAAAAATAAAACCGTTTCCCCGGCAACGGCGCCAAATTTTGACAAGGTAAAGTCGTATCCCCAAATCAAAAGTAATTCCTAAATCCTCTAACTAATGTAGATAGGGAAGTAGGGTCGAATCCACAGAGAAACGGATCTTTCTATTCCTAATTAACTAATATAATCTAGATGATGAAGTAGCCAATATATAAATTTAAATATGAAACTAAACTACGAAGATTAAGAATAGGGAGAAAACAATGAATAAAAGGATCTAGGGCATAGGTTCACCAATAAATAATATTCCAGGGTAGAATATAATAATCACTCATCAATGCATATATTAATCAGATTATAAAGGGCTTTCGCTACGTATTATAATCACACAATTAATTTACTGGTATTAAATCTCATCTTTCGAATCTCGACCTAACCATTTATAAATTAACCTGCCTATTGAAACTAGTCCTAAACATCAATTCTCATATGTCGAATCTCGAATCAATATTGTCAAACTCATGCATAAAAGATCAGGCCTAATCTAGTCATTAAGCATTAAATCAATCAATAGGAAATTAATCTAGCATTGATAATTAACAACAATAAATTACCCCTTCATATTATTCATGGATCCCCATAAACCCTAGAAATAAAACTACTCATACATAATAGAAACTAAACTAATAAAGGCAATAAAACAAAACATGATTAAAGGAACAAAATAACAACTAAGATTAAGAGAAGAGAAATAGTTACCCAAGGAAATCTGTATTAATGAAAATAATTAAGAACAAAGTTGAGAGAGAAATTAAGAGAGAGAAAATATCCTAAGTAGAGATAGAAAGTCTCATAAAAAAAAGGTAATTAGAATTTACGTACATAATTCGTACTTAAACATTCCTCAAAACAAAAAATTAAAACTAATGTAATCAGCTCTAAGAAAAACACGCGCCCGATCGGGCGAAGGGCCGCCCGATCGGGCCCGCTTTTTTTACAACGCCCTGCTGGTATGCCGCGCCCGATCGAGCTTACGCTCACCCGATCGGGCGCGCTTCTTCCTTGAAGGTTCCTATGCGCACAGCCGCTCGATCGGGCGTATGCTTGCCCGATCGGGCTCGGTCTTCTTCTTCGAGGCTTGGATTTCGATTGGGCTCGATTCCTCGGCCCAATCTGGATTTCCTCATCGGGTCTAGATTAATCGATCCAATAGCCCCGGTATCTCATACCGAGCCCTTAATCATCGGCTCTCACCGATCCTGGGCTTCAAGAGTGGTCGTGTCCTTCTAAAACTACCCGAGAAAATGCTCCAAAAGTGCAATTTCCTGTAAAACTCTACTAAAACTACGAAAACACTAGAAAACACAAATTGGTAATAAAAGTGGCCCTAAAGAGCCAAAAACACTACTAATTATGACCATGGGACGGGGGTAAAACACCATATAAATTAGACATATCAATGTCCCTGTTAGAGTAGGTAAATTTTATATACCTGTTGATTTTGTTGTTCTTGATATGGCTGAGGATATGAAAATACCAATTATTTTGGGTAGTCCATTCGTTAACAATGCAGGAGGAATTATAGATGTGAGATGTGGCAAATTGACACTATCAGTAGGGGACGATAAAATTACTTTTAATCTGAATAATACTCCTAAAAGCCCCATGACAAAGGACATGTATTTTAGTGTTAATGTGGTTCATAATTATTCTAACAAGCTCCAAGCTCTTGTAAAAGATCCCTTGGAGGCGGTATCATTGTTGCATCCTCTACAGATGAAATAGACAAATGGAAAAAGGAAGTTTATGCAATAGAAAGAGCCCTCTACACTGCCGGTCTTGGCTTTGAAGATGAGAAGGTGGAAATAAACAAGCAAGTTGTGGAAATTGAGCCTACAGTAAGTGTTCCACCAGATCGAGTTGCAATTTCTAAATCTAGTGACAATTTGAAGAACCCATCGATCGAAGAGGGGTCTCTAGTGTGTAGTATTAAAGAACCCCCAGTCCAAGTCAAGGAGGATCCACCAGATAAGGTGAATTGGTGTCCCACAAGGTATGTCAGGAAGTCGCGTCGTGGCCTAAGCACCACTCGCCCGAGTGAGAAACCACCCGACCAAGCGTTAGGCCAAGGGTCCTAGATTTAAACTTGGTAAGAAAGTCGTGCGGGACCTAAATAAACCAACGCTTTGCGGGAGGCGACCCATATTTTCTTGCTTTTAGTCTTCTTTCTTTTTCTTATAAGAGGAGTGAGGAGGGAAGTTAATGAGTTTATTGAGTTTTACAGGTTTGGAAAGACTTAGTCAAATTTGGAGAAAAGAAAAAAGAAAATCAATCGTCAAAAGTTGCCTCGGGTCCGACCAGGCGAAGCTTGCCCGATCGGGCGCGAGAGTAAAGGAAGAAAAATTGGCAATTTTTGCCCGATCGGGCGCTAGATTTGACGAAATACGGAGATTTTGATCGCCCGATCAGGCAAAGGCGCCTGACCGGGCGCGAAAGTAGAAGAAATTCTGGGTAAAAAATCGCCCGATCGGGCAAAGCTCGCCCAACCGGGCGCGAGAGCAACGTAAACTTAACGAATCAGATCGCCCGACCGGGTGACAGCCCGCCCGACCGAGCGCGACACCAGAGCCCCGTCTGTTTCTTCTTCTTCCTTCTTTCTTTTCTCATTTCTTTCTCTTTCCTCCATTCTTACTCTCACTAAAACTCCATTTTCTCTAACTTCTCTCTAAGTTTCCCTCACCATCTCTTACCCAAATCAAATAATTCTTACATATTCTTAATCCTCTCTTCACCCTCTACACATCTATACCAAATTTGCCCAAATTCAATCAAATATTTTCATACCCATTTTTTTATTATGGCTACAAAGAGATCTCGGTCGATCTTTGGGATGGGTTCTAGTTCAAGGGAGGAGTATGATCCGGATTTGCAACTTCCTTATTGGCCAACAATTCGAATTGCTACCCAGGAGCAAAAAGAACGGCTAGAACACCTTTGCGGGCGTGAGGTAATTCCTTCACGGTGGTTACACCGCCCTACCCTTGAATCTTATGGTTTGTATGATTTTTGTTAAACGTTATTTGAACGATATTGGAATGAGAAAATTTGTTGACATACATTATCCTACATATCGTGAATTAACGTGCGAATTTTTGTCCTCTTTGAAAGTTGTAAATAGTAGAAATGGGCCGAACTTATGTTTTAGGTTGAACAGTAAGAATATTAGTTTAACTTATGTTGAATTTTGTAAAAGATTTTATTTGAATTCTGAATTACCTCATCAATGGCATGCTGATTATAAAATGGGTGATTTTTATCATGCTTAAACTGGTTTACCGACCCCCGACCCCCAACATGCTTGTACAAAACCTATCCATCACCCTGTCCCAAAAATCTGGCAAAGATTTGCAGGTTGTTGTTTTCTTGGTAGGTACGAGCCTCATAACGCCCAAACCAACAAACTAGCTGTTATTGGACACTATGTGTATGGGTTTGGTAAACTGAACATAGGTAGATACATCATCCACCATTTGAGTAGACATGCCACGGCCAGTACCCAGTTTAGTACCCCTATTCGTTTAGGAGGCCTGATCACTAGGATAGCAGTTAAAAAGGCCGGTTTTGTTGAGAGTGGACCCCACCAGATGACTAACTATGGACCGGATACCTATATGACTTCTAGGTACTTTGAGAAGTTGGGTTGGGTACGATTGGATGGTAAGAAAACCCCTCACTAGTGTATTAGGACAGGGACTGAGCAGCCATTGCCTATATATTAGATAACATTGAGAAATTTCCGATTTTCCCCCGCAGCAGCATATATATTAGATAACATTGAGAAATTTCCGGCTTCTGTTGGATCAACTTTGACCAAATGCTTCAAAACCTCCTGTGCAATTTCCACAGAGTAATGCAACCGGCATGCTCCTAAGAGCGTACCCCAAATGACAGCATTTGGTTCCATTGGCATATTCTGCACAACCTCCAAAGCTTCCTTTAGACGCCCACCCCGACCTAATAGATCAACCAAGCAGCCATAATGCTCTATTTGGGGGACAATGTCATAATCCCTTTCCATAGAATAAAAATAATCAAGACCCTTGTCAACATAACCCATGTGAGTGCAAGCACATAAGATACCAATGAAAGTGAATTTATCAGGTCGAAAACCACTTTTTTCATCCTTGAGAAAAGCTTGAGTGCTGTCACTCCATCTCCATGCATAGCTAAACCTTGGATAATGGTGTTCCAGGAAACTAAATCTCTTTCAGACATCCCCTGGAATACAACTAATGCTTTTTCTGCACATCTGCACTTGGCATACATATCAATCAATGCATTATTCACTGTGACACTACATCTAAAACCAGTTGCCACAATTGAGGAACGAACTCTCTTCCCAAGTGTGAGCAAACCAGACTCGGCGCAAGCAGCTAGGATACTAATAATGGTCCCATCATCAAATTTCAATCCTAAACTTTCCATTTCATTATACAAAGATATAGCCTCCTTTGTGAATCCATTTCCAGCATACCCAGAAATTATTATTGTCCATGACACCAAATTCTTAACAGGCATCTTATCAAAGAGTAACCTAGCCATATCCAAATCCCCTACTTTCGTATAACCCGAAACCATGGTAGACCAAGATACAACATTTCTCTCAGGCATCTTCTCAAACAATTGAAACGCAACATCCATGTCTTTTGCTTTAACATACCCATCTAACATTATATTCCAGCTCACAGCATCTTTCTCAGGCATTTCATCAAACAGTTGGCGAGCATCTTTCAAATTACCCCCTTTAACCAACCCCCTAATCAATGAATTCCAAGAAACAATATCTCTATCCTCCATGAACACAAACAACTTCCTAGCAGAACTAACACCAATCACCCCACACTTACAGTAACTATCAATCAACGAATTGGGTACAAAAATATCACCAAAAAAACCTAACTTTATCATCTGGGTATGAACCATTTGAACCAATTGCAATGAACAGGGTCCACTACAAGTCTTAAGAAGAAAAGGGTATTTAAAATTATCAGCGAAAACGCCATTATTAAGCATATCAAGAATAGTAATGAAAGCTTGAGAAGATTGAGAATTCTGGGTATGAGCTCTAATAAGAGAATTATACAAATGAACATTGCGATATCGAACTTGATTGAATACATTAATGGCTAACCCTAATTGATGGCAGAGAGAGAAAGCAGAGATTAATTTAGGTGCTATAAAAGGGTCATTATGAAGATTAGCTTTGAAAATTTGAGCATGAAGAAAGAAAGAGGGTAGGAAGAAGAAGAGTGAAAAATCGGGGAGAGAGAGTGAGAAAGCCAGAAAATAGAAGAAAAAAAAGGAAAAAAAAAAAAAAAAAAAAAAGTGGGGCCTACTGACGGAAATTCCACCGGAAAAACAAAATGGGTGGTAATCTGAGCGTTTTTTTAATTTAATGGGTGGTAATTTAAAATAAAATTTTAATTGAGTGATTATTTAGAAATTGATACTATTTTTGGGTGGTAATTTGCAAATTATCCACTAAAAATTAAAAGACACAAAAATAAGAAGTCAGTGGACTTCGAAATCGGCTGCAATATTGGGAAATTATCCCATACTTCGCACATCACACCACTCCAAATCACACACCATCACAACCGTTCGATTATAAGTCAATCAAATCAATGGCCAAAAATGGAACCCAGAAGTGCGCGGCCGTGATTAATGAGTGCGCGCCCGCGTCTGTTGAAGTTCGAATGATGGCAGGGCTGCTCGGAGGCACTTGCGGGACTGCTGCTGCGGTGGTGCAATAGGTGCCGGTTTAGGGAGTTTCGGCTGGTCTCTTGTGTGTTGCGGGACTGGTGGTGTTGGAGGGGTGTTGCGAGTTTGCTGCAGCTGGAGCAGGGGAAAGCTAATTTGTGCGGTGGTGGCGAAATTGGGAGTTGCGGTGGCTGCTTTTCGGAGGTAGAAGGTGGCGCTGGTGGTTGATTGGTGATAATTGCGGTTGTTGTTGGAGTTGTTGCTGCTGTTTGGTTGTTGTGGGATGGAAGGAGTTAATTGCGGCTGCCGGAAAATAGGGGAAAGGTGGTGCGAATGGTGGTGGTGTGAAATTGGTGGCAGATTGAGTGTTTAGGGGGAGCAGGGGAAGTGTTGTTGTTCGTGAATTGGGGAAGCTAGGGAAATTGCTTGAGGTTGAGTAGCCTGTGGGCGCGAGCATCACCCTCACAACACGCTCTTGATGATCACAAAAGTAGGCAGTACCTAAACACCATGATTATGGGTTCAACACTACCCGGCTTGAGAGCGCAACTATGCAAGCGCAAGAAGTTGAACTTGGAATATCCAGCTACAAAATACAAATGAAACCAAGGATAAAATGAAGTAAAATAAACTCAAAATTAACAAACAAAACTAAGAGAAATAAAATGAAAATGAAAAGAATATAAGATAGAAAACATTATAAAATGAAAAGAAAATAAAGGAAAGAAAATGAAATGAAAATGAAAATGAAAATAAAATAAAATGAAAACTAAAATAAAATGAAAACTAAATCTATAAAGTCTAAAATAAAGGAAAAGCAACTACAATAACGAAAATAGAACAAATAAAGGTAGGGGTGAGCATGGGTCGGGTACCCCTACCGTTAGTACTAACGGTTCGGGTACCCGATAACCAATATCACTAAAAATGATATCCATAAGTCGAACCGATAAGTGCGGGTACCCGGATTTCGGGTACCCGAATTTTCGGAACGGTTATCGGGTACCCTATAAAGTATCCAATAGTGATAATTAAACTTTAAAAATTAGTTATTATGATATTTTTTAACACTAATTAACAACAATACCACATGATCTTGACCAAATTATTAATAACATTACTAATTATTGATATTTATAGTGATTATGAAGTAATGTAAGAGTTTAAATATTGAAAATATAGATTTAAGTAGGAAAAAAAATAATTGCTTATCGAAACGGAACGGGTACCCGTTAAATTTTAAAATGATACCCAAAAACCATACCCGATAACAAATTATCGGAACGGGTACCTGAATCGTTATGGTTATCGGATCGGGTACCCTAATTTTCGGAACGGTAACGGAACGGGTTTTTGGGTTTTCGGTTTTTCGAGTAGTTTTGCTCAGCCCTAAATAAAGGAGAAAATACTAAAAAAAAACCATCAAAATGCACAAAAGCCATAAAACAAGAGAGGAAAGGTAAAATAGAGAGAAAAAGCATAAAACGAAACATTTATTGAGAAATAAAGCTATGAAAAGAAGGTAAAAACGACTTAAATGCTCATCAAATGGGTGTCATTTATGACACCATCATTAACTTCAATAGATCTGGAACCATGACTAGAAGTTCGGGGATGAAGGTACAAATCCAACCTAAAAGAAAATTGAACCTTCCCTAATAATAGGTCTCTACTTTATTCTTCTCGTATTCATGTGCGCTTTATGACTAACATGCAATCAATAGGTTAACCCTAAACCTGTTTATCTATGTTGGTTGAATATTAATGCACAAATAAACCTATTATTGGCGATCACTTGAATTATAATCAAATTAACCCTAAACAAGATTATTAATTATCTTATTAAGCGTGATTACAAGTACAAATTCCCTTTAAACATGCATAAAAGGAGTGATCAAGCAATAACAATAAATATAATCAAGCAACATGATAATCATGATAATAAATCATAATTAAAATAATAATCATGTTAAAGCATAACAAAAGCAAGATCCTGGGCATGATACTAACAAGATTAATAACAAACCCTTGCATGTCACTAAACATCAAAGATCAAATATATAGCCCTAGCATGATACTAACATGCTATTAGGAAAGAAAATAGAAAGCATCATACAAATCATAATTGATATAAGCAAATTACCCTAAATATCATACTAAGGAAACATCCTAACATGATACTAGGAAGCAAAATAACAACCTAAACATGATTTCTATATTGTATTATCAATAAAAACAATTAAAGCACTTACTTGGATGTCTCGTATCTCTTTTTAATAACAAAATACACACGTTAGTAACTTCAAGGAAAATATAAAATCAAACAATTAAATTAAATAATTGAAATAAAGATTTGGGACCAAACCCTCAGAAATAAAACCTTTCACGTCTAGGGCAAAGACAACTTCGAACTTGACTAGGTGTGTCTAGTGCTAATGTATGACAATAGACACCCATCTATGTCTCCCCAAAACCAAACCCAGTGATGAGTACCTTTCATGTCGCATCATAATCAAATGAAGTGAAAGTGTGGAAAGTCTAGTGTTGCGGCTAGTTTTTATTTATTTTCTCTCTCTGTTTTTGAAAACCTATTTTAAGAAAATAGCCATTCCAGTTTGGTTTGGTCCATGGCGAGGGTCCAATAATAGTGTAGTTGGATGGGGCTTGAAAAGATCTTTCCAACGATATATTATAAGCCCAATTCCGATGAATAATAAGGAACTTATGACCAAATTACTAAACTGGGCCCGTTTGATCTTTATATGCGGCCCAATGATCTAGAGAAGGGCCTAATATTAATTTATCATTCCTGATGCAATTAGAATTTATTTTAGTTTTCTAGATTCTTCTAGAAGGTTCTTTTCATTCCTAATTCAATTAGCATTGATAAATTGACTTTGGTTGACATTTTGGAGTTTTAATCAGAATAAAAGAGTTTTTAAGAAAAATACGATTTTGCCCTCTTGTACGGCTAAATTTCATCAGAACTAAGAAAAAGCGTGAAAATAATTACTAGCGCCTGACGACAGGGATTAGCGCTTGGTGATAATGCTTGGCGCCTAGCGCTAGCCTTAGCGCTTGGCGCAAATGTCTAGCGTCTGGCGCCAATGTTGTTTTATTCTCGTCGAAACTCTGATTTGTTTTTCTATCCGTTTGGCTGATTTTCTATAAATAGATTTCTAAAACCTCCGTTTTTAATCATCAATTCTCATCAAAAATCACCAACTCTCATCAAGATTCTCTTGATTACTCTTTCTCTCTCTCTAGCTTTCTCTACAAAATTCTGCATTCACAAGATCTAGAAACACCTAGCCAAATTCGAAGTTGCCTTCGCCCTAGACGTGACAGGTTTGGTTTCTGAGGGTTTGGTGCAAAATCTCTCTTTCAATTATTATTTAATTTAATTGTTTTATATTTTCCTTGAAGTTACTAACGAGTGTATTTTGTTATTAGAAAGTGATACGAGGCATCCAAATAAGTGCTTTAATTGATTTTATTGATTTTATGAATCTTAGAAATCATGTCTAGGTTGCTATTATGATTCCTAGTATCATGTTAGGATGCTTTCCTTAATTTGATGTTTTGAATGATAACTATGATTCCTAGTATCATGTTTAGGGTAAAAGTTATAATATCAAATATGCTTATTATGATTTCTGCGATGCTTCCTATTCTCTTCCTAATATTCATGGGAGTAACATGTTAGGGTTTGTTATTAATCTTGTTAGTATCATGCCTAGGATTTTGCTATTATTATGCTTTAACATGATTATGATTTTTATTATGATTATTATGTTGCTTGATTTTATTTATTGTTATTGCTTGATCACGCCTATTAGGCATGTTTAAAGGGAATTGGTACTTGTAATCACGCTTAATAAGGTAATTAATAATATTGTTTAGGGTTAATATAATTATAATTCAAGTGATCGCCAATAATAGTTCTATTTGTGCATTAATATTCAACCAACATAGATAAACAGGTTTAGGGTAATCCTATTGATTGCATGTTAGTCAGAAAGCGCACATGAATACGATCAGAATAAAGTAGAGGCCTATTATTAGGGCAGGTTCAATCTCTTTTAGGTTGAATTTTTACCTTCATCCCTGAACTACCAATCATGGTTCCAGACCTATTGGAGTGGATGTTTGGATCGTTAAGGGGTGTAACCTTCACCTCGTGAACGGTTTATAAGTTCCTAAAACTTGTTGGCGACTCTTTTTCTCTATCTTCCTTCCCTTTTGACGTTACCGTACTTTAGTGTATGATCACAGTGGAGTTCAAGCTAGGGATAATGCTTGAAATATTCCCTACAGTTTTTGGCGACTCCACTGGGGAGAATTTCTATTTTAATTCCTGAAATTTATTTCGGCAATGTTTAGAATGAGTGGATGAGACTCGAAAAG